CTGTTGTAACACTTATACTACACTGACACTGTTGTAACACTGACACTACACTGACACTGTTGTAACACTGACACTACACTGACACTGTTGTAACACTGACACTGTTGTAACACTGACACTACACTGACACTGTTGTAACACTTATACTACACTGACACTGTTGTAACACTGACACTACACTTACAGTTGTAACATAGACTCTACACTGACACGTCATTTACACTGTTGTAACACTGACACTACATTGACACTGTTGTAACACTGACATTATACGGACACTGTTGTAACAATGACATATGTGCTGACACTGTTGTAACACTGACACTACATTGACATTGTTGTAACACTGACACTACACTGACACTGTTGTAACACTGACTCTATACTGATAGTGTTGTAACACTGACTCTATACTGATAGTGTTGTAACACTGATACCACACTGACACTGTTGTAACACTGACTCTATACTGATAGTGTTGTAACACTGATACCACACTGACACTGTTGTAACACTGACTCTATACTGATAGTGTTGTAACACTGATACCACACTGACACTGTTGTAACACTGACTCTATACTGATAGTGTTGTAAGACTGACACTACATTGAAACTGTTGTAACACTGACACTACACTGACACTGTTGTAACACTGACACTACATTGAAACTGTTGTAACACTGACACTACACTGACACTGTTGTAACACTGACACTACATTGAAACTGTTGTAACACTGACACTACACTGACACTGTTGTAACACTGACACTACAATGACACTGTTGTAATACTGACACTACACTGACACTGTTGTAACACTGACACTACAATGACACTGTTGTAATACTGACACTACATTGAAACTGTTGTAACACTGACACTACACTGACACTTTTGTAACACTGACACTACACTGACACTGTTGTAACACTGACACTACACTGACACTGTTGTAACACTGACACTACACTGACACTGTTGTAACACTGACACTACACTGACACGTTGTAACACTGACACTACACTGACACTGTTGTAACACTGACCACTACACTGACACTGTTGTAACACTGACACTACACTGACACTGTTTGAAAACACTGACACTACACTGACATGTGTTGTAACACTGACACTACAATGACACTGTTGTAACACTAACACTACACTGACACTTTTGTAACACTGACACTACACTGACACTGTTGTAACACTGACACTACACTGACACTGTTGTAACACTGACACTACACTGACACTGTTGTAACACTGACACTACACTGACACTGTTGTAACACTGACACTACACTGACACTGTTGTAACACTGACACTACACTGACACTGTTGTAACACTGACACTACAACTGACACTGTTGTAACACTGACACTACACTGACACTGTTGTAACACTGACACTACACTGACACTGTTGTAACACTGACACTACACTGACACTGTTGTAACACTGACACCACACTGACACTGTTGTAACACTGACACTGTTGCAACACTGACACTACACTGAGAGTGTTGTAACACTGACACTACAATGACACTGTTGTAACACTAACACTACACTGACACTGTTGTAACACTGACACCACACTGACACTGTTGTAACACTGACACTACATTGACACTGTTGTAACACTGACACTTCATTGACTCTGTTGTAACACTGACACTACACTGACACTGTTGTAACACTGACCCTGCACTGACAATGTTGTAATACTGACACTACACTGACACTGTTGTAACACTGACACTACACTGACACTGTTGTAACACTGACACTACACTGACACTGTTGTAACACTGACACTACACTGACACTGTTGTAACACTGACACTACACTGACACTGTTGTAACACTGACACTACACTGACACTGTTGTAATACTGACACTACATTGACAGTGTTGTAATACTGACACTGTTGTAACATTTACACTACACTGTCACTGTTGTAACACTGACACTACACTGACACTGTTGTAACACTGACACTACACTGACACTGTTGTAATACTGACACTACATTGACAGTGTTGTAATACTGACACTGCTGTAACACTTGCACTACACTGTCGCTGTTGTAACACTGACACTACACTGACACTGTTGTAACACTGACACTACACTGACAGTGTTGTAACACTGACACTATACTGACACTACTGTAGCACTGACACTGCTGTAACACTTGCACTACACTGTCGCTGTTGTAACACTAACACTACACTGACACCGTCGAAACACTGACACTACACTGACACTGTTGTAACACTGACACTACATTGACACTGTTGTAACACTGACACTTCATTGACCCTGTTGTAACACTGACACTACACTGACACTTTTGTAACACTGACCCTGCACTGACAATGTTGTAATACTGACACTACACTGACACTGTTGTAACACTGACACTACACTGACACTGTTGTAACACTGACACTACACTGTCACTGTTGTAACACTTGCACTACACTGACACTGTTGTATCACTGACACTGTTGTATCACTGACACTACACTGACACTGTTGTAACACTGACACTGCACTGACTCTAACACCACACTGAGACTGTTGTGATGTTACACTGGCACTACACTGACACTGCTGTAACGCTGACACTACACTGACACTGTTGTATCACTGACACTACACTGACACTGTTGTATCACTGACACTGTTGTATCACTGACACTACAATGACACTGCTGTAACACTGACACTGCACTGACTCTAACACCACACTGAGACTGTTGTGATGTTACACTGGCACTACACTGACACTGCTGTAACGCTGACACTACACTGACTCTAACTCCACGCTGAGACTGTTGTGATGTAACACTGACACTACACTGACACTAACACTACATTAACAATGTTGTGACACTGACACTAACACGACACTGACACTGTTGTAGCAATGACACTAAGACTACACTGACACTGTTGTAACACTGACACTAACACCCCACTGACACTGTTGTAACACTGACACTAACACCCCACTGACACTGTTGTAACGCTGACACTAATACCACACTTACACTGTTGTAACACTGACACTAACACCCTCTGACACTGTTGTAACGCTGACACTAATACCACACTGACACTGTTGTAACACTGACACTAACACCCCACTGACACTGTTGTAACACTGACACTAATACCACACTGACACTGTTGTAACACTGATACTAACACCACATTGCCACTGTTGTGTTGTAACACTGCCACTAACATCATACTGACACTGATGAGTTGTAACACTGACACTAACATCATCCTGACACTGTTATAACACTGACACTAACACCACACTAACACTGTTGTGTTGTAACACTGACACTAGCAACACACTGGCACTGTTGTGTTGTAATACTGACACTAACACCACACTGACACTGTTGTGTTGTAACACTAACACTAGCAACACACTGGCACTGTTGTGTTGTAACACTGACACTAACACCACACTGACACTGTTGTGTTGTAACACTGACACTAACACCACACTAACACTGTTGTGTTGTAACACTGACACTAACACCACACTAACACTGTTGTGTTGTAACACTGACACTAGCAACACACTGGCACTGTTGTGTTGTAACACTGACATAACACCACACTAACACTGTTGTGTTGTAACACTGACACTAGCAACACACTGGCACTGTTGTGTTGTAACACTGACACTAACACCACACTAACACTGTTGTGTTGTAACACTGACACTAGCAACACACTGGCACTGTTGTGTTGTAACACTGACACTAACACCACACTGACACTGTTGTGTTGTAACACTGACCCCTAGCAACACACTGGCACTGTTGTGTTGTAATACTGACACTAACACCACACTGACACTGTTGTGTTGTAACACTAACACTAGCAACACACTGGCACTGTTGTGTTGTAACACTGACACTAACACCACACTGACACTGTTGTGTTGTAACACTGACACTAACACCACACTAACACTGTTGTGTTGTAACACTGACACTAACACCACACTAACACTGTTGTGTTGTAACACTGACACTAGCAACACACTGACACTGTTGTGTTGTAACACTGACACTAGCATCACACTGACACTGTTGTGATGTAACACTGACACTAGCAACACACTGACACTGTTGTGTTGTAACACTGACACTAACACCACACTGACACTGTTGTGTTGTAACACTGACAGTAACACCACACTGACACTGTTGTGTTGTAACACTGACACTAGCACCACACTGACACTGTTGTGTTGTAACACTGACACTAACACCACGCAGACACTGTTGTTTTTGTAACACTGACACTAACACCACACTGACACTGTTGTGTTGTAACACTGACACTAGCACCACACTGACACTGTTGTGTTGTAACACTGACACTAACACCACACTGACACTGTTGTGTTGTAACACTGACAATAACACCACGCTGACACTGTTGTGTTGTAACACTGACACTAACACCACGCTGACACTGTTGTGTTGTAACACTGACACTAACACCACGCTGACACTGTTGTGTTGTAACACTGACACTAACACCACACTGACACTGTTGTGTTGTAACACTGACACTAACACCACGCTGACACTGTTGTGTTGTAACACTGACACTAACACCACACTGACACTGTTGTGTTGTAACACTGACACTAACACCACACTGACACTGTTGTATTGTAACACTGACACTAGCACCACACTGACACTGTTGTGTTGTAACACTGACACTAGCAACACACTGGCACTGTTGTGTTGTAACACTGACACTAACACCACACTGACACTGTTGTGTTGTAACACTGACACAAAGCACCACACTGACACTGTTGTTGTAACACTGACACTAACACCACACTGACACTGTTGTGTTGTAACACTGACACTAACACCACACTGACACTGTTGTGTTGTAACACTGACACTAACACCAACCTGCTTCTCACAGACACTGTTGTTGCTGGGCCTGGTAACACTGGCTGCTGCACTCCCAGAGAAGTTGCACCAGCTGGCCGGCGAAGCTGACGAGGATGAAGAAGGTGTTGACTATGAAGATGAACCCAAGAGACCGTACAGCTTCTCGTACGCCGCCTCCCGCTACTACAACGGCGCTCCTGACAGAGAACACCAGGAACAACGAGGAGAAGACGGTATTACCAGAGGTGTCTTCAGGTAGGTTCCGGTATTCTGTGTTCCCCAGTCTGGGGGTACTGTGTGATGTGTGTCTGGGGTACTGTGTGAGGTGTGTCTGGGGGTATTATGTGACGTGTGTCAGGGGTACTATGTGATGTGTGTCTGGGAGTACTATGTGAGATGTGTCTGTGGGTAATATGTGATGTGTGTCTGGGAGTACTGTGTGAGATGTTTCTGGGAGTACTATGTAATGTGTGTCTGGGGTATTATGTGATGTGTGTCTGGGGTACTATGTGATGTGTGTCTGGGGTACTATGTGATGTGTGTCTGGGGTACTTTGTGATGTGTGTCTTGGGGTACTATGTGATGTGCGTCTGGGGTACTATGTGATGTGTGTCTGGGGTACTATGTGATGTGTCTGGGGTACTATGTGATGTGTGTCTGGGGTACTATGTGATGTGTGTCTGGGGCACTATGTGATGTGTGTCTGGGGGTACTAAGTGATGTGTGTCTTGGGTACTATGTGATGTGTGTCTGTTGGTACCATGTGATGTGTGTCTGGGGTACTATGTGTTGTGTGTCTGGGGTACTATGTGAAGTGTGTCTGGGGTACTATGTGATGTGTGTCTGGGGTACTATGTGATATGTGTCTGGGGTACTATGTGATGTGTGTCTGGGGTACTATGTGATGTGTGTCTGGGGGTACTATGTGAGGTGTGTCTGGGGTACTATGTGATTTGTGTCTGGGGTACTATTTGATGTGTGTCTGGGGTACTATGTGAGGTGTGTCTGGGGTACGATGTGAGGTTTGTCTGGGAGTACTATGTAATGTGTGTCTGGGGTACTATGTGAGGTGTGTCTGAGGGTACTATGTAATGTGTGTCTGGGGTACTATGTGAGGTGTGTCTGAGGGTACTATGTAATGTGTGTCTGGGGGTACTATGTGAGGTGTGTCTGAGGGTACTATGTAATGTGTGTCTGGGGGTACTATGTGAGGTGTGTCTGAGGGTACTATGTAATGTGTGTCTGGGGGTACTATGTGAGGTGTGTCTGAGGGTACTATGTAATGTGTGTCTGGGGGTACTATGTGAGGTGTGCCTGAGAGTACTATGTAATGTGTGTCTGGGGTACTATGTAAGGTGTGTCTGGGGGTTACTATGTGTGGTGTGTCTGGGGGTACTATGTGAGGTGTGTCTGGGGGTACTATGGAAGGTGTGTTTGGGGGTACTATGTGAGGTGTGTCTGAAGATACTATATGAGGTGTGTCTGGGGATACTATGTGAGGTGTGTCTGGGGATACTATGTGAGGTGTGTCTGGGAGTACTTTGTAATGTGTGTCTGGGGTACTATGTGAGGTGTGGCTGGGAGTACTATGTAAGGTGTGTTTGGGGGTACTATGTGTGGTGTGTCTGGGGGTACTATGTGAGGTGTGTCTGGGGTACTATGTAAGGTGTGTTTGGGGGTACTATGTAAGGTGTATTTGGGGGTACTATGTGTGGTGTGTCTGGCTGTACTATGTGAGGTGTGTCTGGGGTACTATGTAAGGTGTGTTTGGGGGTACTATGTGTGGTGTGTCTGGGGGTACTATGTGAGGTGTGTCTGGGGATACTATGTGAGGTGTGTCTGGGGATACTATGTGAGGTGTGTCTGGGGATACTATGTGAGGTGTGTCTGGGGATACTATGTGAGGTGTGTCTGGGGATACTATGTGAGGTGTGTCTGGGGATATTATGTTAGGTGTGTTTGGGGGTACTATGTAAGGTGTGTTTGGGGGTACTATGTGTGGTGTGTCTGGGGTACTATATAAGGTGTGTTTGGGGGTACTATGTGTGGTGTGTCTGGGGGTACTATGTGAGGTGTGTCTGGGGGTACTATGTGAGGTGTGTCTGGGGTACTATGTTAGATGTGTCTGGGGTACTATGTGAGGTGTGTCTGGGGTACTATGTAAGCTGTGTTTGGGGTACTATGTGTGGTGTGTCTGGGGGTACTATGTTAGATGTGTCTGGGGTACTATGTGAGGTGTGTCTGGGGTACTATGTAAGGTGTGTTTGGGGGTACTATGTGTGTGGTGTGTCTGGGGGTACTATGTGAGGTGTGTCTGGGGGTACTATGTGAGGTGTGTCTGGGGGTACTATGTTAGATGTGTATGGGGTACTATGTGAGGTGTGTGTGGGGTATGTGAAGTGTGTCTGGGGTATATGAGGTGTGTCAGGGGTGTATGTGTGTTTGGATGAGTGTTAGAACTCACCTATATGTGGTTGTAACACTAACACCACACTGACACTGTTGTGTTGTAACACTAACACCACACTGACACTGTTGTGTTGTAACACTAACACCACACTGACACTGTTGTGTTGTAACACTAACACCACACTGACACTGTTGTGTTGTAACACTAACACCACACTGACACTTGTGTTGTAACACTGACACTATTGTGTTGTAACACTAACACCACACTGACACTGTTGTGTTGTAACACTAACACCACACTGATACTGTTGTGTTGTAAAACTAACACCACACTGACACTGTTGTGTTGCAACACTGACACTGTTGTGTTGTAACACTAACACCACACTGACACTGTTGTGTTGTAACACTAACACCACACTGACACTGTTGTGTTGCAACACTGACACTGTTGTGTTGTAACACTAACACCACACTGACACTGTTGTTTTTGTAACACTAAAAACACACTGACACTGTTGTGTTGCAACACTGACACTGTTGTGTTGTAACACTAACACCACACTGACACTGTTGTGTTGTAACACTAACACCACACTGACACTGTTGTGTTGTAACACTAACACCACACTGACACTGTTGTTTTTGTAACACTAACACCACACTGATACTGTTGTGTTGTAACACTAACACCACACTGACACTGTTGTGTTGTAACACTAACACCACACTGAATACTGTTGTGTTGTAACACTAACACCACACTGACACTGTTGTGTTGTAACACTAACACCACATGACACTGTTGTGTTGAAAACACAAACCCACCACACTGACACTGTTGTGTTGTAACACTAACACCACACTGACACTGTTGTGTTGCAACACTGACACTGTTGTGTTGTAACACTAACACCACACTGACACTGTTGTGTTGTAACACTAACACCACACTGACACTGTTGTGTTGCAACACTGACACTGTTGTGTTGTAACATTAACACCACACTGACACTGTTGTGTTGTAACACTAACACCACACTGACACTGTTGTGTTGTAACACTAACACCACACTGATACTGTTGTGTTGTAACACTAACACCACACTGACACTGTTGTGTTGTAACACTAACACCAAAACTGACACTGTTGGGGTTGTAACACTAACACCCACGGGACACTGTTGTGTTGTAACACTAACCCCAAACACTGACACTGTTGTGTTGTAACACTGACACTGTTGTGTTGTAACACTAACACCACACTGACACTTTTTGTGTTGTAACACTAACACCACACTGACACTGTTGTTTTTGTAACACTAACACCACACTGACACTGTTGTGTTGTAACACTAACACCACACTGACACTGTTGTGTTGTAACACTGACACTGTTGTGTTGTAACACTAACACCACACTGACACTGTTGTGTTGCAACACTGACACTGTTGTGTTGTAACACTAACACCACGCTGACACTGTTGTGTTGTAACACTAACACCACACTGACACTGTTGTGTTGCAACACTGACACTGTTGTGTTGGAACACTAAACACCACACTGACACTGTTGTGTTGTAACACTAACACCACACTGACACTGTTGTGTTGCAACACTAACACCACACTAACACTGTTGTGTTGCAACACTAACACCACACTGACACTGTTGTGTTGCAACACTAACACCACACTGACACTGTTGTGTTGTAACACTAACACCACACTGACACTGTTGTGTTGCAACACTGACACTGTTGTGTTGTAACACAAACACCCCCAACTGACACTGTTGTGTTGTAACACTAACACCACACTGACACGTTGTGTTGTAAACACTAACACCACACTGACACTGTTGTGTTGTAACACTAACACCACACTGACACTGTTGTGTTGTAACACTAACACCACACTGACACTGTTGTGTTGTAACACTAACACCACACTGACACTGTTGTGTTGCAACACTGACATTGTTGTGTTGTAACACTAACACCACACTGACACTGTTGTGTTGCAACACTGACATTGTTGTGTTGTAACACTAACACCACACTGACACTGTTGTGTTGCAACACTGACACTGTTGTGTTGTAACACTAACACCACACTGACACTGTTGTGTTGTAACACTAACACCACACTGACACTGTTGTGTTGTAACACTAACACCACACTGATACTGTTGTGTTGTAACACTAACACCACACTGATACTGTTGTGTTGTAACACTAACACCACACTGACACTGTTGTGTTGCAACACTAACACCACACTGACACTGTTTTTGTTGTAACACTAAACCCCCACTGACAATGTTGTGTTGCAACACTGACATTGTTATGTTGTAACACTAACACCACACTGACACTGTTGTGTTGCAACACTGACACTGTGTGTTGTAACACTAACCCACACTGACCTGTTGTGTTGTAACACTAACACCACACTGACACTGTTGTGTTGTAACACTAACACCACACTGACACTGTTGTGTTGTAACACTAACACCACACTGACACTTTTGGGTTTTTGTAACACTAACACCACAATGGACACGGGTTGTGTTGTAACACTAACACCACACTGATACTGTTGTGTTGTAACACTAACACCTCACTGACACTGTTGTGTTGCAACACTAACACCACACTGACACTGTTGTTTTGGGAACACTAACACCACACTGACACTGTTGTGTTGCAACACTGACACTGTTGTGTTGTAACACTAACACCACACTGACACTGTTGTGTTGCAACACTGACACTGTTGTGTTGTAACACTAACACCACACTGACACTGTTGTGTTGCAACACTGAAAACTTTTGTGTTGTAACACTAACACCAAAACTGACACTGTTGTGTTGCAACCCACTAACACCACACTGACACTGTTGTGTTGTAACACAAACACCACACTGACACTGTTGTGTTGCAACACTGACACTGTTGTGTTGTAACACAAAACACCCCCACTGACACTGTTGTGTTGCAACACTGACACTGTTGTGTTGTAACACTAACACCACACTGACACTGTTGTGTTGCAACACTAACACCACACTGACACTGTTGTGTTGCAACACTAACACCACACTGACACTGTTGTGTTGTAACACTGACACTGTTGTGTTGTAACACTAACATCAAATTACACCACACTAATACTCTTGTGGAGTTACTGTAGTATACCAGTGTGTGTTACTGTAGTATACCAGTGTGTTACTGTAGTATACCAGTGTGTGTTACTGTAGTATACCAGTGTGTTACTGTAGTATACCAGTGTGTGTTACTGTAGTATACCAGTGTGTTACTGTAGTATACCAGTGTGTGTTACTGTAGTATACCAGTGTGTGTTACTGTAGTATACCAGTGTGTTACTGAAAGTAAAACCAGTGTGTTTTAAACTGTAGTATACCGGGTGTGTGTTACTGTAGTATACCAGTGTGTTACTGTAGTATACCAGTGTGTGTTACTGTAGTATACCAGTGTGTTACTGTAGTATACCAGTGTGTGTTACTGTAGTATACCAGTGTGTGTTACTGTAGTATACCAGTGTTTTTCACTGTAGTATACCAGTGTGTTACTTTAGTATACCAGTGTGTGTTACTGTAGTATACCAGTGTGTGTTACTGTATATCCCAGTGTGTTACTGTAGTATCCCAGTGTGTGTTATGTAGTATACCATGTGTGTTACTGTATTTTACCAGTGTGTTACTGTAGTATACCAGTGTGTGTTACTATAGTATACCAGTGTGTGTTACTGTAGTATACCAGTGTGTGTTACTGTAGTATACCAGTGTTTTTCACTGTAGTATACCAGTGTGTTACTGTAGTATACCAGTGTGTGTTACTGTAGTATACCAGTGTGTTACTGTAGTATACCAGTGTGTGTTACTGTAGTATACCAGTGTGTGTTACTGTAGTATACCAGTGTTTTTCACTGTAGTATACCAGTGTGTTACTGTAGTATACCAGTGTTTTTCACTGTAGTATACCAGTGTGTGTTACTGTAGTATACCAGTGTGTTACTGTAGTATACCAGTGTGTGTTACTGTAGTATACCAGTGTGTGTTACTGTAGTATACCAGTGTGTTACTGTAGTATACCAGTGTTTTTCACTGTAGTATATCAGTGTGTTACTGTAGTATGCCAGTGTTTTTCACTGTAGTATACCAGTGTGTTACTTTAGTATACCAGTGTGTTTTACTGAAAATTTTACCATGTGTGTTACTGTAGTATACCATGTGTTCCCTGTAGTATACCAGTGTGTGTTACTGTAGTATACCAGTGTGTTACTGTAGTATACCAGTGTGTGTTACTGTAGTATACCAGTGTGTGTTACTGTAGTATACCAGTGTGTTACTGTAGTATACCAGTGTGTGTTACTGTAGTATACCAGTGTGTTACTGTAGTATACCAGTGTGTGTTACTGTAGTATATCAGTGTGTTACTGTAGTATACCAGTGTGTTACTGTAGTATACCAGTGTTTTTCACTGTAGTATACCAGTGTGTTACTGTAGTATACCAGTGTGTGTTACTGTAGTATACCAGTGTGTTACTGTAGTATACCAGTGTGTGTTACTGTAGTATACCAGTGTGTTACTGTAGTATACCAGTGTGTTACTGTAGTATACCAGTGTGTGTTACTGTAGTATACCAGTGTGTGTTACTGTAGTATACCAGTGTTTTTCACTGTAGTATACCAGTGTGTTACTTTAGTATACCAGTGTGTGTTACTGTAGTATACCAGTGTGTGTTACTGTAGTATACCAGTGTGCGTTACTGTAGTGTACTAGTGTGTGTTACTGTAGTATATCAGTGTGTTACTGTAGTATACCAGTGTGTTACTGTAGTATACCAGTGTGCTACTGTAGTATACCAGTGTGTTACTGTAGTATACCAGTGTGCTACTGTAGTATACCAGTGTGTTACTTTAGCTTTGGTCTCCCTGGCAGGTACGTAGACCCACGTCACAAAGTACAAGAGGTCGTGTACTTCGCTGACGAAGGAGGTTTTCACGTGGAGGCTTCCAACCTGCCTCAGGAGACCCTGGCTGTGCAGAACGCTCGTCTCAAACACCAGGAACTCTTTGAGAAGATCAGAGAGGAACATGCTCGTATTGGAGCCGAGAGAGCGCTCCTTGAGTCCGAAAACACCGATGACGAGAAGTACCAGTAGTGATGTACCTGTAGTGTCGTACCTGTAGTGATGTACCAGTAGTGACGTACCTGTAGTGACGTAACTGTAGTGACGTACCTGTAGTGACGTACCTGTAGTGACCTACCTGTAGTGACCTAGTTGTAGTGACGTACCAGTATTGACGTTCCTGTAGTGACGTACCTGTAGTGATGTACCAGTAGTGACGTACCAGCAGTGACCTACCAGTAGTGATGTACTAGTAGTGCCCGTCAGTAGTGACGTTCCAATTTAGTGACGTCCCAGTAGTGACGCTCCGTAGGGACATTCCAGAGTGACGTACGAATTAGTGACGCTCCAGTAGGGGACGTAGCAGCAGTGCCCGTACCATAGTGCGTACCATTGTAAACTTTCCAGTAGTGACGTAATCCAGTAGGGGCTACCAGTAGTGACGTACCAGTAGTGACGTTCCAGTAGTGACGTACCAGTAGTGACGTACCAGTAGTGACGTACCAGTAGTGACGTACCAGTAGTGACGTACCAGTAGTGACGTTCCAGTAGTGACGTTCCAGTAGTGACGTACCAGTAGTGACGTACCAGTAGTGACTTTCCAGTAGTCAAATTTGCTCTGGCGACGCGCCTACGATACCAAGATTTACGAAGGATAAGTCCTCGAGATAACATGGATAAAAGTCACACTAATATAACAACACACAGAAACGTGATGTTGAAACAGCGAAGAACAACATCGAATTAAGAGTAAACAAAGTAGGTGACGGGAAGCGCAGAACATCAGAGGGAACACTAACATTGTTCTTACATACTACTGTGTTATTCCAGAGGTAGGAATTGAAAACTGAACGTCTATTAATGTGTTATATATATGACAGTGTTAGGTGATAGCTGGTGATGGTCGGGAGACAGGAAATTCTGTCTTATTTACATTATCTTCAGAGGGAAGGAGAAAAATATTTATTGATGTATATTTATCAAATCTTTGCCCAGTCTTAATACTGAGTAATCTTACGATAAACCTTATTTTTCTGTACATTTCATATTTTCGTAAATATTTACATGCCGTCAGTGAGGTAAATTCCTCAGTTCTCTTGTGTTTACTATGGCTACAGTTAGGTTAATAACAGTGATCATCAAGGGTGGGTCCTGACAGGTGATGTTAATTCATAACTAATGTTTGTGTAGTGTTTCTGGCACAACTGTTGCTCTATCAAGTCAAAATTGTCTGTTAGATGTTTGTTATTGTCTGTACAACCCAGTAGTTCACCTGTCAGTGTGTGCTTACACCTGCCTTCACTGTTTGCTTACACCTGCCTTCAGTGTTTGCTTACACCAGCCTTCAGTGTGTGCTTACACTTGCCTGTAGGTTATGTATTTACACCTGCCTTCAGTGTGTGCTTACACCTGCCTGAAGGTTAAGTATTTACACCTGCTTTCAGTGTGTGCTTACACCTGCCTTCAGTGTGTGCTTAAACCTGCCTGAAGGTTAAGTATTTACACCTGCTTTCAGTGTGTGCTTACACCTGCCTTCAGTGTGTGCTTAAACCTGTCTGAAGGTTAAGTATTTACACCTGCCTTCAGTGTGTACTTACACCTTGATAAATTAGACACATGTACAACTCTTGGGTATCTTTATTGAGGAAACGTTTCGCCACACAGTGGCTTCATCAGTCCATACAAAGGAGAATCTTGAAGAACAGGAGGAGAATGAGGTAATCAGTCCCTCAACCTTGAGTCGATGTGGTCAGTCCATCAATCTTGAATGGACTGACCACATCGACTCAAGGTTGAGGGACTGATTACCTCATTCTCCTCCTGTTCTTCAAGATTCTCCTTTGTATGGACTGATGAAGCCACTGTGTGGCGAAACGTTTCCTCAATAAAGATACCCAAGAGTTGTACATGTGTCTAATTTATCAACATGTCGGTTCTCTGAACCATTCATCTACAAATACTTACACCTTCCTTAAGTGTGTGCTTCCACCTGCCTGTATGTTATGTAGTTACACCTGCCTGTAGGTTGCGTGCTTACACCTGCCTACATATTGTGTGCTTACACCTGCCTGCTTGGGGTCACACCTGCCTACAGAGGGTAACGTTATGACACATAAACATAATCGTTCACATCTGAACATCTCACATAAACAAAATACACTATGGGACTGGGAAGAGT